ACTGTGTATGTGTGCGTTTGCTTTACTTTTTTTCCCGTCGTATTTTTTTATTTTGATTTGCCTTTTTTCGTTTCTTTTCGCTCCATCATAACATCCGTTTTTGACTCAGTCACCCATCGCCTTTTTTTTCTGGTGGTGGTGGTGATGATGGCCGTTTTTACGTCTTATTTTCTTTTCCTTCGCCTATGCACAAGGACAGGAAAGTCGCCCACACCAGTTTTTATTTCAGTGACCTTCCAAGTGAAACAGAGGGACGTCTGTGCCAAAGCTTCCTCATTTTGACGTCAGCATCTGAAAAAGAGGAAAAATGACATGCAGACCCCACACGGCTGCTACCTTGGTGCGTGTCACTGCTGATTCACGTGCGACCAAGCCCCGGGATACGGCGGCTGAGGATGGGAAAGCGGGAGCTGCTGGTGGTACAACACGCCTCGTTGCTGATGCTGCTGTGCCATTAAGGCCGACTCCAAAGGCTGTGGCTGCATCACAATTGGCGGTGCCGTGGGATACGACGAGGCAAGAACAGGGCAGTACGTTAACCGACCATCACCCATCGCCACAAGCATCATGGGAACCTGCTGTTGCATCGGATTTTGCGGCATGACCACTGCATGGGACTCCATGCGTGGAGTTGCCGTGAGTTGTGGTCGAATAGCGGAGTTCGCTTGTTGGTAGAGAGCTGCACTGCGTGCATCCCGTGCAACGCCCATTGAAAACATTTGAGATGTCACTTGATGCGGCACAGCACTGACGGATTCTGGAAAAGTCGTAGCTGAACAGCCTGCAGCTGCAGGCGCAATTGCACCAAGAGGTGGGCCTTCGTTCTCCACAATAGGCCTCAAAGAATTCACATTCAAACAACTCTGTGCGTCTTTTCCCTTAGCGACTTCGGCACGCCGTTCCACATCAGTGTTGCCGGAGGCCGATACACGTGGCATATATGCCTTGGCAAAGTTCTCCAAAGAATGAAGTGTGGCCTGTGGAATGTAACGCGACGACTCAAACGTCGGTGTAACTCTAAGCCCTCGCGAAGAATTCCCTTCCGCTTCGCTTTCGGGCAGTGACGCAAGGTGCAACTTGCCCAAATCCAGAGAAGCATCATCATCCCCTTGTGATGAGACACAAGAAGGACATTTGTTCTTTTTAGATGAAAAGCACTTGTCCTTCTCACTCTTCGTCGATGACCGTTGCTTGCTCCACGTCTGTTCCTCTCTTGGAAGCGTCTTGACTGCCGCAACTGTGAGTGAACACAAAGAAGTTGTTTTCAAATTGGTTTGCGCGGATCTTGGCTGCGGAATGATGACGCATGTGCTTTCACTTGAAACTGTATTCCCCTCATGCAGGTGCTCATTATGTGCTGCCAATCCCCCGTGAGACGCTGAGGCGGAGCTCGAAATAATAATCGCCGCCGCTGCTGCTTCTGTCGCACGCCGTCTATCCTCCGCCCTTTTTTCATGTGGAGGTAGTGGCTTCTGGAACTTCGTCTCAGCGGCCGCCACTTCCCCACGTGGCAAGGCTTTCCTGACCGCTTGTCCTTTCGGCCCAGTAACTTCGGGGCACACCGCCTTAGCGGGAGGGACCCGCGAAGGAGGCTGTGAATGAGAAACAGCTGCAGACTCCTTGTGAAGTGCCGTTTTTGTAGTAGTTTCCTTGCGAGCGTTTGTCGCTTTCTCTGATGCGGCGCGACGCACGGCAGAAGCTGTGACTGGCGCCTTATTGCGTACGACGGTGGCGGACTCGGGCGGCGCCTTTGCCGAAGTTCCCTTCAACTCACGCAGGGGCAAAGTATGCGCCACTTTCTCCACCGACTGCAAGGAAGGGGGTTCCTTCTCAGAGAACTGAATTTTCTCCACGGCCACTGCTGCGACACGCTCATTGCTTTTGTGTTGTTTCCTGTTTTCACCCCTCGTTGGAGAAACACGTCGTGGCGTTTTCTTGCCCTTTCCAGCAGCGCCGCCTCGTCGCTCCTCACTGCTGGCAGTACTGCTCATTTGCAGAGGCGATGATAGCGCTATGGAGAGCGAAGAGGGCTCAACCTTGGACGAGGAATTCGCGGCAGCAAAGCGGGGAGCAGCATTTTCGTTGACGCTTCTTCTCTTTGTCTGTGACGTGAGAGGCACAAACGGTGGTTCTTGCTCAAACGCGTTGATTTGCACAAGCTCCTTCTTCACAGGGGGCGTCGTGGGTCGGGCCTCCTCCGACGCGGTAAGCCGAGGTAACCGCCTGCCATCGTCCTCATCCTGCGTCGTCTTCGCGTCTATCGTTTCCTCCGCGGTGACGTCTTCCCCTTCTTCCTGCTCTGAGGTAGTGGAACTCGCCCGAGGCTCATGCGCGCCTTCACACGATTGGCGCTCTGAAACGGTGTTCGCGTCAGAGAGAGACGTCAAAAGCTTCTCTGAGGCGCCGGCCGAAGGCGCCGCCGTGCCCTCTCCACGCGCTTGAGCGCACTTGTCAGGCTCCACGGCGCCTATCCCCGTGCCGGTGGAGGCGCCCGGCGTGGCATTTCCCACACGGCGCAAAGCAGATGACGAGCTCGAGGAAGAGGTCGAGGGCGAGGCCGATGAGGGTGACAACGTAAAGGATGGCGCCTTGTCGCCGCCACCAGAAGTTCTCTTCCCTGGGAGTAACGTCGTTGCGAACGTCGCGGTTGCCGCCTTCTCCAGAGCGATGGAAACCGACGAGGCGGTGTTGTTGTGGCTTTTTTCTCTCGATTTCTGCTCCGCCCGTGTGATGGATGCCAGTCTTGACACGCCGTTTGGCACCACGCCAAACGCCGCCGCAGAAGAGACTACAGGCCACTCCCATCGGTACACGTAGAGGGCGGTGAAAGTCATGAAGAGGCTAGAGGAGGTAATGGTGTTGACATACAGTAGCTTCTTGTTCCACGTCATTTGCAGCGCATTCACCCCACTGCGATTTACATGCCAGTACGCATTCACAGCCAGCATCCCTAGCCAAACCATCACCAGCGGCAGTGACGAGTGAACGCGCCGAGGGGAATGGGCGGCCATGTAAAGGACAAAAAATGCCGAAGACATTCCATTCGCAGCAAAAGGTAGTGTGTCGGCGGGTATGCAGAAAACAACAAGGGTGGCAACGGCTAGATACATCGCAAGGCAAGCGACGGATTCCCGGAGCATGCGTTGAAAATCATCCGCCCATCCCTCTCCGAGAATAGCAGAGACAACAAAGAACGCACAGATAATGCCCGTAAACGAGGCTTCAGAAGTCCACTCAAACATCATGCTGGAGAACCACATGCATAACGCCATGCAAAAGTTAAATCCCAGAAAAAAGAAGTAGTCCGCCAAACCTCGCAGCACAGATGATAATCCACTAAGAGGTGTGTTCGCAACACTTTTCTCAAGAACCCTAGGTATCATAAGAACTTTCCAAACCCCTGCGCGACGAACGCGTTGAAGGCATTGCGTTTCCGTCAAAAATAGGGTTAGTGAGAAGGCCATACCAAAGCTTGAGTACACCCTATACACCCATGAGCCCTGGCCTGAAAGCATCAGAAAAGTATCTCGCAGCGAGTACGCGGGACACCAAAAACACGTCGCAAAAACGTAAATTCCGATGAAAAGCACCAGCAATTTTGGCCCAATTCGCGACCAGTGAAGCGTATTCGCCAGGAAGAGCGCCACTGAAGCTCTATTAATGTTTGTAAGGTCAATCGTGAGGATAATCACGATAAACCATACAAACAGCTCCAATGCAAATGCCGTTCGAGGTCCTATACGTTCTTTTTGTTTCTGCTGCAGCCCACCATTGCGCACGCCCGCGCCCAGTGTGCTGTGCACGCGATGCGCACACCCGCCTCCGCTTGCCGACGCCATGATTTCATCCCGCTTCATCAAAGCCTCGTCGTCCACAAGGATGACGCGCAGGAGCAGGATCGCCGTTTCCAAAGCAATCGGCGAGCATCCCCGGAGAATTGTGTCGTACCCACGCATATAAATGCAGAACGCCCACAAACAAATAATGACGAAGCGCCACAAAAAATCCACTTCCTCATCCGGCGCCGCTGAAATTAGAGAGACATCCTTGCGCATCGCAAAGCGACTCTCAAAGAGCTGCAACGCCGTCTTTAGACCCTGCGCGGCAACATGTGTCATGGACCCTTTTCAGACTCGAGTCCAATCGCAAATGTCGAGCTCTGCTCAAGTCCACCGAAACGAAAAAAAAAAAAAGTGTGAGGGCGATGTTGTGCCGTGTCTGTACGTGTTTGTGTCCGAGACAGCACCGTCACCGTCCTATTCTCCGAGCAGCCGCGGGGGCCCAAGACCGGTGTTTTGACGGGTAACAGAAAAACAACAAGCAAACAAACAAAACGTGACTCAGGAGGAGACAATCAACTAAGCAGAGGTAAAAAAAGAAAAAGAAAGAAAACAATACCACTGATGAGAAGACTGTGCAAT